TATTTTTCTTAAACATTATATCTTAAAATTGAAACTGAATACATGTGATTATATATCTTTTCAAATGAAAATCTTTATCTGAAGTTTCTAAAGAAATTAATCAGCATGTAATGATTTTTTCATCTGAAGTGTAATGCACAGTTTTGCTTTATATTTGTGAACAGCCATCTTAAATGAGCAATGGACTACGAGTACCAAGTATAATAAAAATTACCCCCCCTTTTTTTTTTTTTTTTGGTGGAGTTGCCGGGGATTTAAACTGAATAAAAATATTTTCAAAGAAAAAAAAAAAAAAAAAAGAAGAAGTTTAACAATTGTTTCACATGTCAATATAAAGTATTATTCCCATCCCCACCCCAAATCACTGGCTGCCATGTGTTCATGTCCTGAGATATGCCCATTCAGTTTCAGGGTATAAGAATTCATCTTTATAAAGCACCTCAAGCAATACCTGTATTTCAGCTTATAAGGTATTTCTCACTCATCTAAGATCAATTTGGATTTCTCTGGCCTTCCAGCAGCTCAGTGCTGAGAAAGAGCGCCCTCATGCGGTTGCCTTGAAGCTATGTAGTTAGTGCACACAAATGCTTTTATTTTTTTGGTTCAATTGCATTTTGCTAATTTCTACCAATGATTATCTCGTGTTTATCTGCATGAGTTTCAGGGATTTCTTGTGGTTTTAGTATTCTGTCTAAAGTTTGTGAATGCATGCACTAAAGGCTCCACTGCAGACACTGTTACAGATATTCTGTCTGTACAGTGTACGTGTAGATAATAGCTATCTACACAACTAACAGCTATCTAAAAGGGTAGGATTTGCAAGGAGATGGTCATTATTGAGAATCAATAAAAGCAAACTGTCCTATTGTGGATGATATCTAATTAGTGTTATATCTATAGGTTTGATGATTATGGAGCATAAACAGATGTTAATTCTAGAAGAACAGAAATGCTTAAACATCTTCCTACTAAAATGGATAATTTTATCTTCAACTTGCAAATGCTCATCTTCCACCAAGGCCCCAAAGGTTCCCTTGGGTTTCTCTCCCATCTGTCCTCCCAAATTCCCACCAACCACTCACTTTTCTGCATTCCATCATTCTAAGCTGGATTTGTCTTTCCTAGAGTTTCACATACCATCTTTTGTGTAAGGATTCTTTCACTTAGCCTAAATGAGAAGGGTGCACAAATTGTGATCTCTTGTGTTTTCTAATTTTGGGGGGTTTTGTTGGGGTTTTGATCTGATCTGATTTGGTTTTGGTATTTTTTGTTTTATTTTTAAAGAAAACCCTTTGAAAATGCAAATACCATTCTTAGCTGGAGGGCTATACAAAAAACAATACAATGATGTTCAAAGTTACTCTGAAAAATGTGCATTTATGAGAGACTACAAATGTTTCTGCTACCATATCATCCATTTTATTTTTTTTTAAGGTACTGGAGATTGAACCCAGGGATGCTTAACTAGTGCAGCCCTTTTAATTTTTGAGACAGGGTCTTGTTAAGTTGCTAAAGCTGGCCTCAAATTTGTGATCCTCCTTCCTCAGCCTCCCCAGTTGCTGAGATTACAAACAAGCACTGCCATGTCTGGCTTCATCTGATATTTTTTTCTACATACTCCATCTCTCTGTGACTCTCAATTGCACATATTAACTGCCTAATACTGTCTCACAGGATGTTTTTTCAGTCTCTTATTTTCTACACTTTATTCTGAATAGCTTCTGTTGCTATGCCTTTAAGTTCAATGATCTTTCTTCTTGATGTTTAATCTACTGTTAATTCTGTCCAGCACAATTTTCATTTGAGATATTACCTGTTGGTGCTCCATTTGGTTCTTTTTAATATATATTTTCATTTACTACATTCATGTTTCCCTTTATGTCCTTTATATCATGAAATGTACTTACAATAACTATTTTAAAATCCTTATATATTTATCATAGCATGTGTGTTATTTCTGCATGTTTTAACTGACTTTTCCTCCTCATTGAGACATATTTTCCTGCTTTCTTGGGTGTATAACTTTATTACTTGCCAGACACCGGAAATTTTACATTGTTTAGTGTTGGATTTTACTGTATTCCTTTAGACTCTTCACTACTGTTTTTATTTTTATGTCTAAAACAATTCACAGAAAGAACTCCAGATCTCCAAAAACAGAACAGTTACTTTTGAGACAGGAGCTATAACTTCTACTCCTTCCTTAGAAACTACTTTGGACAAGTCTCCTTCTCTAAGAAAATCTTTAGAAAAGAAAAAGATCTTTACCATCTATTTCAAATCATTACTAGGCCATAATGCCAAAATCGTAGCAAAGGTAGTTCTTTAAATGTAGCCACAAGCAGCACTTACCTGCAAAACATTTCTTGTGAAACTAACATCACCCTAATTTTCAGAACCAGGCAGAGAGGACATATGACTGGAGTCCAGTGAAAAGTGAACATCTTAAACCTTACCCTTTCTCATTCAGTAGTGTCTCCATTTCTGTAATGTAACATTCATCACAGATGGCGAGGTACTCCATCACCAGCTTTGCATCTTTTTTGTACGCTTTACCAACTGCTCCCTTATTGGGTTCAAACTGAACAACATTAACTGTTTTGTATGGAGTAGTCAAGGATCACAAAAAACACTGCCTCAGTACTATGAAAAATGATCTTGAAGTCAGTCATTAACTTAAAACATCACCAGTTCTCTAGTATAGATCCTATGTAGGCTGATTTTAAGTGCAAAATGAAACAATTATCCCCAAAATCACTTCAAGAAACTTCACTTAAAAATAAGTAAACACCACCAATACAGAATTTTTCAATTATACTGAGATAAAAGGAATATTATACCTAATTGGCAATATAATTAATCCATAACACAAAAACTTTGGGTAACAATTAATTCATTTCTAAAATGCCAAATACAACAAGGTCTATTTCCCGTCACCTACCCTAAGAAACCAGTTCACAGATCACATCCTCAGCATCTGATAAGAAAACTTATAGCAAGGTACAGTGGTACTCGACTGTAATTCCAGCAATTTGGGAGGCCAAGGAAGGAGAATCACAAGTTCAAGACTAGTCTCAGCAGCTTAGCAAGACCCCGTGTCAAAATAAAACAAAAAGGGCTGGGGACATAGCTCAGAGGTAGAACACCACTGAGTTCAATCCTGAATACAAAAGAAAGACACAAAGGAAGAAAGAAAACTTCTATTTTGCTAATACACGAACAATGTAAACTAAATTATTTTATTTACCATAAAATGGCAATCATCGTTTTACAGAAAAAGTATTTACCAGATGCACTCTACGTAGGGGTCCACAGATTTAGGTATGGAAAAATGTAACCTCAAACAAAACAGAAAATGGGTCAACACTCTGAAAGATATTTAGAGCATTTTTCTGAATGTGCTTTTTCTAAAGGTCAAATACTGACTTCCCATATCAGACTACAAGTATAGAGAATAGGAAAGAAGCAATGAGGGCGATTAACTAACAGGTTTAAACAAACATTAGTCATCTTTTCATTGCTGTGACCAAACCCCTGACATAAACAATTTAAAGGAGAAGTTCATCGTGGTCCACAGTTTCAGAGGTTTCAGTCCATCGTACAAGGACTCACTTCATTGCTCTGAGAGTAAAGAGGCCAGTGATAAAATACACTCCCCAAAAACGTGACCTACTTCCACCAACCATGCCCACTGCCTACAGTTTCTATCTCCTCCCAGGAGTTCATTAAAATTATTATCCTATCAAATAGGTTACCCCACTAATGAGGTCAGAGTCCTCATAATCCAATCATTTCCTAAAAGCCCCACCTCTGGATATGATATTACTGCACTGCCTTCAACACATGAGCCTTTGGAGGACACTCCAGATCCAAACCATAATACTACTATAACTCYAAAACTTCTCCATTCACCTACAGAATGAAGTACAGACTGGAACTTACATACTGGCAAGATGTTTGCACTTAAGCCTGAGTATGCAGTGATCAGAAAGGATATGGGTTCTTTTAGAGGTTTTTCAGCAACTAGAGGGACTTTGGTGGCTCGTGCATGACAGGAGAGGTCATAACAGGAACGATCAGCACATCCAACAATCTCAATCCAGCCCTAAAACAACAGAATTGATAAAAAAACATTTATTGCTTACATTGAGTTTGTTCACAAATGCATGCACAGTTTAAGCCCTTTTCAAATATTGTAGGATATTCAATCATAGAATCTCCAATTTGATTTTATAAATTTTTGAAATGGGAACAGTTTCACAATTCACAGAGCTGACAAATCTAAAAAGTATAACTAACATTGTACACAAAGTAGACTTATTTTCTAGAGAGATTTACATTGCCCTATCTCAACAATGGGCTAAACTAATATATTCTAGGAGTTAATTACCAAAATTAAATATAAGCATAGACAAAACATGTAGAATTGGTTCAAATTTGTAATCAGTATCAAAATGAGTTGGGCAAAACCCACTATTCTCTCTGGACAAAGTACCTACTAGCCTCACAAAAATGATCTTCTCTTGTACAAAGGAAAATAATTTTTTTTGTTTAATCTGAAAATAAAAAGAAATCCCAGAAAACAAAAAAAATTAAAGAAATTAATGATACTTATACTCCTGAGATACTACATAAAATTTTGGCATATGTCAAGCAAGCTTGCTAAAAAAAATTAGATAAGAAAAACCTGAATACATTCTTTCCTAATTCCACAAAGGAAAAAGAATATATTTAAAACAACATCAATAACAGCCACTATAAGAGATATGCATATTATTATGCACTTATAAATGCAAATGTGTTTATAATCTAGAAGTCAGGTACAGGCACATGCCTAAACCCTAGCTACTTGGGAGGCTGAGGCAGGAAGATTGCAAGTTTGAGGTCAGCCTTAGCAAAACTCAGGAGACCCTGTCTCAACACAGAAAAGGTTGGGGATGTAGCTCAGAGGCAGAGTACCACTGGGTTCAATCCCCAGTACTGCAAAAAAAGGAGGAAAAAAAATCTAACTCAGACACACCAAGGCCTGTGGGCCTATGGCATTTACCATTTCTAAGGTTGCAAAACAACAAGAAGATATGCAACAGAGACCATACAGGGCCCACAAAACCAAAAATATTAACTACTTGATCCTTCATAGAAAATGTTTGCCAATCCCAAATATACAGAAGAGACACAAAGCCCTTTGGGGGACAAGCGTGCAATTTATAAGTCTTCAGAATTATTTTTTCCTTGTAAAAAGAAATCATACTTTAACATGACTATTTTTACTTTTAATTAGACAAAAAGGAATCCAAACTAAAAAAAAAAAAAAAAAAAAAAAGCCAGTTTACAAATTAAAACCCATGACTCTGGGTTAACCCACTGATCCCGGGCTAAAGCCACCTCTCTCTAGAGAAGAACTCACGAACATCCAATAAGGGATGTGACAAAAGATTCTCAGGGTCCTTGTTTTGGATATCAGCTTATTACCACTGCCAATAACACAGAAAGAATCTTCTACATTCAAATGCCTTTCATTCCTAAGTTTAGTACTAATGTTCACATACAGAAGCATGGGAAGGTACAATGCAGAGGTAACCTAGGCATCTTGTCGAAATTTTTAGAGAAAAGGCAGTTCTTAAATGAGATGAGAATTGACTAGTATATCCCCTCAAACTACCAAATAGCTCTCTAATCTAATAGTACTATAGCTTTCTTTACTCACCCTACCACCATTTCTAACATTTGTTGGGATTCCTGTCATCAGGAGGCCACTCCATCTTAGCTTCACTTAGAGAGGTCACCAATAACACTGGACGGCACCAAACACACACACACCGGCACTGCCCCATCATCATCAATCTTTTCTATCTGTCTGAAGAAGCTATCTATGTCTCCAAGCAGCTCCTCCTGTGACACAGAACAGCCCGCTCCTCATAAGAAGACTACTTTTACTGTTTTGTTCAGGAAAAGATCTCTTTTCTTTGTTCCATTATGACTTTAAGTTCACAAAGTGCAACTGTGATAACAGATTTTTTAAGTTAACAATGTGGAAACCAGAGTAAAAACCATTCCATTCTACTTACGTAGGACGTTTTAGATTCCGCATCCCAACAGTCACAAGCATAATGGGCCATTTCGTTCTCCATGTGCTGCCGGAAGCGAAGTTTATCTGGAGATACTCCAACCTTCGTGAGGTAGAGGTAGATGCGGCCAATGAAGTAGCCTAATACTGAGTTGTTAATTACACCCTGAATAAATAAGCAAGTAAGCATGGAGGAAGGAAAGAAAAAAGATACACATTAATACTTTTCAAGACTAAGGTATTATTTTCCATGAAGTTATTCATAATCTACTGAAGACATTTGAAACACAATGTAAGCTACTTTTTTGTTGCTTTCAGAATTTCAAATACCCAGAAAGTGATATCTGTTACCTTCAAAGAGGTTAATATCAAATAAATAAGGTGATAACAAAATTGGTTCAAAATACACCCAACATACATCTATCCAACTACTCAACTGGGTCAGCAAAATTTCAGCCCAATGCCACTGAACCTCTAAATCTACAGTATAAAAATAATGTTCATTAATGACCCTAACAAATGGCAAAGATATTCCCTTCAGAATTAACAAAATTAATAACGCATGTTAAAGGGATTTTAATGTATTCCTACCCATTGAAATCGGCAAACCCCATTCAATACATGTAATCTTACAATTTTAATACTGGAAGAATCTTAGAAATCATCCAGCCCCATCTCTCACCACTGTAGGGATTCTCTCTGCAAAATGGGTAGCAAGTATCATCCAGCCTCAACTTTAACATTTTCAGGGCCAGGAAGCTCAATGGTCCGAAGGCAAGTCATCCAGGCAGCAGCTACTGTTTTTTCACCCCTTCTTATCTCCTGGAGAATATTTAGAGAAATTCTGCTACCTGCAAGGCCTTATCACCAACTGATATGGGTAATGCAGAAGAGCTTAGAATCCAGCAGCCTTGCTTTCCTGAACCAAATTCTGTCTCCCTCGCAGTTACACAGAATGTTAAAAATGGATCAGTGAGGCACAATTTAAACAAAGCTCAATTTTCCAATATCACTCTGCTAAACTTTTTTTGTGTGTGTTTAGCCCCACAATCCAGAAACTGGGATATTCGGGTGATTTTTCCCTCATTGTGATAATACTGTGTAGGGACTGGAGCAGGGCTCAGTGGCTGAGCACTTGCCTAGCATGCACAATACCCTAGGTTTGATTCCCAGCACTGCAAACAAACAAAATATAAAATGAATGACTGTATAAAAATATGACTGCTAAAATAAAATATTTTATCAGCCAGTACAAAAAGAACTTGGTAAGCCCTGCAAACCCTGAACTGGCACAATCTGAATTACTCCTGCATCTTACCTGTTCAACAGCATCTCCTAGGCGCATTTTCCGAGCAGACTGTCCGCTGACCTGGGCTTTTGCTGAATACAAACAAAGGTAAAGGTCTGCTACATTCTGGAACTTGGGATGGTCTTTCTCACTAGGATCTACAAAGTGCTCAATTTCTGCCATTGTGAATTCTCTGTAAACAAAATATAAGGGATAAAATCTGCATGCTTAACTAAAAAACACTAAACAAGGCCCCTATTTTCAAATGCATTCTATACTGATAAAGGCCCCGACTCTAATAGCTTATTACTCTAATAGCTTATTACTAAAATTAAAAAAAAAAAAAATGGTTTCTTAAGGGAAGGAACAAAAAATGTTTTGATTGGGTTTGTCTACATAACTGTGTTTGCTTGTTTGTTTTGGAGTAACTAAGGATCAATCCCAGGGACTCACAGATGGTAGGCAAATGCTTTACCACTGAGCAACATCCCTAGCCTGGTTATTTTTAAAAGCATTAAAAACTGGCCTAGGGGTGTAGTTCAGTGATAGAGCATGTACTCAGCATGCACAAGGTCCTGGATCTAATCCTTAGCACTAAAAATAAAAGCAATATTAATAATAAAATTAAACTTTTTAATTCACTATTTTAAATAACCATAAACTTCTCTCAAATAATGATTTCTTCCACCTAACCAAATCCAAAATGATGGGGTTAGTTTTAACTGAAAACAATTTTTAAAAGGCAGAATTAATAACAAATTTTAAATTTACAACTGGCCATGGTGGTATATGCCTATAACCCTAGCTATTCTGGAGGTTGAGGCAGGAGCTCAAGATTGAGGCCAGCCTGGGGTACTAAAGAAAGACCCTGTCTTGAAAAAAAGATTAAAAGACTTAGGGATGTACCTCAGTGATAGAGTGTTTGCCTAGTGGTTTAGAGGTCCAGGGTTTGATTCTTAATATCTTCCCCAACACACACACACACACACACACACACACACACACACACATGCACAGACACACGTGAGATATTGAGTAGTGACATCCAAATAAAATGTTTTATCTTAAAGCATCAGTAAGTCTTTATAAATATACCCTAAATGAAGCAACCAATATTGACTTTTCAAAGAATGGGAAATTAAAAGTTGACTGAAATGGTTCTTTAGCTTTTATAGCAGTTTGGTTCCTTTTTTTCTTTTAACTGCTCTATACATGATTACGGCACTATGCAGATGGTTTCTTTAGAGTAAGAGCTTCTTAAATAAAGTGTAATTCATGGCAAAGGACAGCAGACAAAAATTGAACAAGACAACATCAAGCTCAATGCAGAATGATGAAATAAATATGCACACAGTAATGGCTTCTCAAAAAGATTTTTCTGAATGGCAATTTAATAGCTATTGCAGGGGGAGATGAGGTGCCGGGAGGTAATTGTATGAGGCAAAATCAAACCTCTCTTCTTTTAAAAACAACAAATCACATTTACTGGTGTACTTTCAAGACTACTTCAGAAGTTTTAGATGCAATATAAAATTCTTAAATGGGTCCTAAAAACACACGAAATGCACTGCAAAAGAGCTTTATTTTTTGAATTTTATTTTTTAATGGTACCCCTTATTTAGTCCTGTAGCACCTATGTCTTAATCATCTTTGAACAACTATCAAACATCTGTGCACAAAGCAAAGTGAGGGACAAATGTGGTGTTTGGCTGCACAGTTTGTACCTGGGCTGACAGGAACTGCACATCCTCATGTGGGGCAGATAAATTAAAGGCCCTACTCAGAATCCTCAAAACAGGTGCTGCAAAAATGGTGCTGTGAAAATGGCATATTTGGGACTTTTAGGACATCTATCTAGAATTTCAGTTTGGGAATAAAGACTTAAAATTTTTTTTWAATTTGTTCTTTTTAGTTATACATGACAGTAGAGTGTATATTGGCAGAATATACATATATGTATATATACAAACACAAAGAATAAACCACTCTTGTGGTTACACATGATGTGGAGTTACCCTGATTGTATATGCAAATACAGGGCTAGGAAAGCTATGACCAATTAATTCTACTGTCTTTCCTATTCCTCTCCCACCTCCCTTCCCTTTGTTTCCCTTTGTCTAATCCAATGGATTTCTAATTTGAATGCTTAAAATTTGCTAAGAAAATAGATCTTGAGTATTCTTACTGCCAAAACAACAAAAATAAAGGTAACTATTCTTGTGAGAAGTATTCCAGTCTCCAGAGAGACTTTAATTAGCCTGTCTGTGGTAATCACTTCAGTGTACATATAAAAACATCACCTTATTTATCTTGGGGAAAAAAAGGCAACCTTAGTTCACAGACAGGAGGCAACATTTATTTGACCAACTCTGTCTCTTATCCATGAGTTTAGAGACTGTATACACAGGCCAGGAAGACAGAACTAAACAATCAAACACAAAAAATTTTAAAAAGCTTCAGATGAGCAATCTGATACTTCTGAAAGAGTTAATATTTTTTTTWAAAAAAATAATTATTTTTTAAAAAAGTAATTACTGCTACAGAAAGACTCATCACCTGATAACTCTGATCAAGAAGAAATCTTAACACTGAACAAACCAATCCTGGTGCTCCCACGGGGGATGTTGATGATGTACATAACCCAACTAGTCAAAACCAGGCAGGACACTTTGAAGTGGAAATGAGCCACTAGTCAGGAAGGTCCAGGCTTTTCCCACTAACCCCTGTGATCACACAATTCTGAGCTGGTTTTCCCACTCTATAGGCCCCAGACTCTTCTCCCAAACACTAGTTTTAGACAAGGTCAGTATAAGTACTGGGGAAGCACTTGTGTCAGGGTACCATTGGAACAGGAGAAACCAAAAGACAAAAAGAAAAACAAACAAAACAAAAAAACCCAGACCTTGGGAAATAAAGAACTCAAATCTGACACATTTTTCATTTTCATAATACCTTAAATTTCTGATTACCTCTCTTTCTACATGAAAACCTAAAAGGGGCCCTTCCCACCCCTTTCTTTAGGTTGTACATACATCCTCCATGACATCTCTCATTCCTAACCCTCAAGTCTGAAGGGACTACAGCTCTGAAGACAGTTTGGTTGACAGGTAGAGGTATTTCCTCACAGACGGCACCATGGGACTAACAAGATCAGGCAGGTGCCTTGGGCACTTTGATCTGCAGTCAGTGGCTGGGACAGGCTATGGCTATGTCTGTAATTACAGCAAGTAAGAAGAGAGGAAAGGGTGGTGCCTTGGGACTAGGAGAATACTTTCAGTGCCTAAAAAAGATCAGTGTGACTATTCCAACCTATTTTTTTTATAGAATGAGTCACTCTAAGAGATGACATCAGGAAGAAATGTATAGAAATCACTAAAAGCTCAAGTCATAAACAACTAAGTCATAATAAATTTCTAAACAGTAGAAGTGAACAGTGCCTATATGCCTTTCCACATATCCCTGGATGTAACAGACAAAAGCACATTTTCAGAACAGAGGCAAGTGGGTAAGTTTGTTAAAGGCTTCCCCAAATATCTAGAGGTTATATCCATATCACCAACTGATCACTGAAACACTCTCCAGCAAAGCTGTCTGCACTGGACTAGAGTGACCCTCTTGTCATAACTCCACCCCATCTGCCCCCACAAAAAGCAGCACTGCCCAAACTGCAATTTGTTCAGAAAATCAAGAGCTTAACTCAAAACATATGATGAACATAGAAAAAAGATGATCTTGGAGCAAGGAAGAAGTTTAAGCTATTTCCCACCTCTTACCTTTCCATTCAAACATACTTCTATTATTCAAAACTGCCAATTATCCCAGGTATTACACTTGGAGATCACAAAATATAAAGAACACAGAGAAGACAAAAATAAATCCATAATTGGTACTATCACAGAATAGTTTCAAAATGGCAATCTTTCACTTCTAACTCAATGTCAAGGGCAGTACCTGACTCTGATGAGTCCAGATCGAGGGGAGATCTCATTTCTAAAAGAGTTTCCAATCTGGGCAGCAGCAAAAGGCAACTTTCCTTGGTTGAATTCCAAAAGTCGCTTGAAATTCAGGAAAATCCCCTGTGCAGTTTCTGGCCTCAAATACCTAAAAAGTTAAGTGAATCAGTCTGTTATCAAGAAAAAAATAATATTTTATAACAAACATGAAATTTTATATATATATATATATATATATATATATATCTCAAAATTCTCAAATAAACCATTTTACAACAAAACTGTACAGGCCCTAAGACAAAGTTTTAGAAACAGATATCTTCCTCTGAAGCAAATATTCTCATAGAAGTATCAGAAAATAGATTAAGTAACTGGTATGGCAAGACTACTGCAGCACTGTCATTTTATTGGATTACTCCAGTTGTCAAAATACCCCCTCTTTCACAGTGCCCCTAAAACCTCTGATGATGTCCTCTTGAGCAAACATTTGCATAGAGGTATAGATTAGGATAATTTTGGTTCCCTCCAAAAATAAAACCTCTGTTAATCCACAAAGTGAAACAACTGTGGGATCAAAAAAGAAGTCAGTATGGGCTAAGGTTTAACATTAGAGTTCACTGAACACGTCCATCATCCTACTAAGCCAGGACATTTTCAAGGATTCCCACACTATTTTATCCTCTGCAATATTTTCTGTTTTCAGCCAAAGGCTTCTTTATTTCTTCATATTTTAAACAAATGGTTAAAAAAATGCTATAATTATTGCCCTCACCTCAATTTCACAGAAGATACTCTATGCAAAACCCCCTTTAGGAAAGTGTTCTCAATAGCCTACTTCCAAATAAGTGTTATTAAAACAACTACAAAACCAAGGAAAAAAGACATCTAAAATTTCACCCTCTCTTCATGTACATGACCACTCTTTCATTCTTGTGGTTCTTTCCAGATTTCATCCAAGTATTAACAACTACAATTTATGTGTGTATTAATGCATGATGTGTATAAAATTATGTTACTTCTTTTATTTATTTTCTAAATAATTGTAAAAAAAATCTTACATTTAACAGTGGCAAAGCATTATATTAAAATGATCTACTTTATTATAATTCTTAACCATTCTCACATTAATGGATAGGTAGATTATTATACTTTTACTTTATATGTTCTTTATAAGCATAGTTTCCTTTCCTTTTGAATTATTTCCTTAGGAATTCCCAGGAGTGAAATGTCTGGGTCAGAGAATACACATCATTTTATAAAATCTCTATGTACTATCAAAATGCAAAGTTTACCATTGGCTTCTTTCTACAAAATATCCCATATCAACCTGGCATCTTGTCCCTTTTTTTGGTACTAGGGATTGAACCCAAGGGCATTTTACTACTGAGCTACATCCCCATCCCTTTATTTTGAGATGGGGTCTAAAAATAAGTTGCTAAACTGCCTAAGTCTGGCCTCAAACTTTTGATCTTCTAACCTCAGCCTCCTGAGTGGATGAGATTATAGGCATGTGCCACCATGCTTGGCTCATCCTATTATCTTATAAAAGAATAAGCTGTGAACATTTTGTCACAATTAATTAAAATTAAATTAAAATTTATTTTTACTCTAAAACAAAACCACAGAAAAAAATATCTGACACTACGAAATGAAACATTGGCTGTGTTTGTTAACAGTGGACTGGAAATCTAGAGAAAAAGCTTCCAATTCCAGATCACTTTATAAACTATTCAAATTTGTTTATTATGTGAAAAACTTCTTCTTTCAGATCAATAGGCCATACCTATGCTGTTCAATGATAGGACATTAATTACAGGTCTATTTAAATTTAATTAAAAAGCATTAGGAGTGATGGCACACACCTGTAATCCCAGTAACTCTGGAGGCTGAGGCAGGATCCCAAGTTTAAGGGAAGCTTTGGCAACTTGGCAAGACCCTAAGCAATTGAGTGAGACCCCCATCTCAAAGAAAAGGCTGGGGATATGGCTTAGTAGTAAACCACCCCTGGGTTCAATCCCCAATACCTATCAATCAAATTAAAATAATTTAAAATTCAATAACTCAGGAGCACAAGTCTCAATTCAAGTTCTCAACAACAATACATGGCTAGTGACTAACATATCTAGAACATTTCCATCACTGCAGAAAGTTCTACTGGACAGCTGTGCTAAACTGAACAGCTACTAAAGTACACTTCAGCAATCATTCTTTGCCCTTCCCCTATACAACTATAACTAACAGATCACAGTCTGTTATGTTTATAATTTTAAAAAAAGGGAAAGTGATTATATTAAGAATTATAAGAAATAAAACTTAAGCATATGGCTGTCATTATTTCTCTTTAGTATATTCATCTGTACTTTCTTTATATAACCTCAAATTTTTTCCTTCCCAGCATTGATATTTACCTTTATTACAAGCCATTTTAATAACTTGGTTACACAAACAAACTGTGATACATACCCAGGCATGTTTCCTCCAGGTCCAATGAAGGTCTTGAACATTAAATTAAAAGGTACTGGTGGGGACAGATCATTCCCAGTAGTGGGGGATTTTACATTATAGTTCACAAAAAGATCTCCAAGTTCTTGCTGTCCATAGTTATCAAGCTAAAGAATACATCAAGACAATAATTAGTGCAAAAGACAAAGAAAACAAGGCAAAAGTATTATAACTTCTTCAATCCATTGCTACAACTCACACAAAATTCAAGAACATAAGAATTTACCTAAACTTCAGAATATACACATTAAAACTATAAACAGTTTACATACTTTTCGTTTACCAGCAGAAAAATGGAGACATTTCTGGAACTGACCTAAAACTAATGCCTTTACCATTTCACAATGAAAAAAAGAAAGGCACACAGATAGAACTCCTGTTTCATTATAATAGTTATTGGTTGGTAAGAACTGAATGAACAATTTAAAAACTAAACCTTCTAGGTTCTTTTGTCACACAACTTCTAAGGAGCATTCAGAAAATCATGCCATTACGCAGAAAGTTGGATCACTGAGATAAAAAGGTCACTTGAGTGACCTTCAAGATACAAACACCACAAATGTAACCTGGTCCTCCTACTTAAAGAGAAAGTCAAATAGCTTAAGGAACATCTCTGTTTCCCAGAGAATTCAATAATACATACTGCTTTTCAATAAAAGACATAATGAAAAAAGAATCAGGAAGAAAAAGATTCTGAGGATACAGATAGAAATTTGTTGGATATAAATTTCAATAAATTGCATTTGCATTTCCCATTTGACCCAGGAATTCCATTTCTAGGAATCTATCCCAAAGATGCAACAGTAAAAACATGAAACATATAAGCAGAAAGCTATTCAGTGCAACACTATCTATAATGGTAAAGAGGGAAAATAGCCCAAATGTCCACTAATAGGGAACTAGTGATATAAATAAACTACAAGCACACAATGCAGAATTATGCCGCTATAAAATGAAATAAGGAATATCTCTATATTCTACTATGAGAATGGGGATATATTGTTATGTGAAAAAAACATGGTAAAGCATATGTGGAATCCTATCATCTACCTAAAAAGGGGGTGCATACATATCTGTCTTTATTTAAATGTGGCTTAAAATTTTTTTTAATTTTTTTTTTTTAGTTGTTGATGGACCTTTATTTTTTTCATTTATTTGTATGTGATGCTGAGAATCAAACCCAGTGCCTCACGCATGCAAGGCAACTGTTCTACCAGTGAGCCACAATTCCAGCCCAAAAAAAATTTTTTAAGTTAAAACCTGCTTACCTATGTGTTAAGAAGGGAATAAGATAAAGGGCGAGAAGGGAATAAAATAGAGGGAAGAGAAACAGACACTATATCTACTTGAATATACTTTGCTTTTAAAATTTAACTTTGGAGCTAAAAAGATTTGGTATAGTTACAAAATGAACTTAAATTTTAAAAAATGAAAACCTAAAAATTGAGAGGAAAACAAAATGCACAGATTGAGTATCTAGCTTGTGACCTAATAACACAGAATGACCGCTTGTGAATTTAAACACCCATGTTAGACCGCAGGACTGACTGAATACTTCTGGTGTATCTTTGAAAAGAAAGAACAAAATGAATTTTTATATTGTTTTCAATATTCATATTGTTGATGTTGGTGCTAATATTGTTACTGAGGCTGTTAATGTACACTGTGGGGAATAAAACATTAATAATTGTGTTGCAGAGAACTGGTATTTTTGGTGTGGGTAAAAGAAAATAGAGATTTAAAATTTATAAAATAAAAATAGCATAATATCTTTAAGTAGAAGTTTCAAATCAATTCATGATGACTTTACCTTTAAAAAATAAGACTTCCCTGGCTCAGTTCACCAAAAAGGTCTAGAATCAACAACTAATACCATGTTCACTAATAGGAACCAGAAACCCTTGGAGAAATAAATGGTCCAGGAAATGTACAAGATGAGCCTACAGTTGTCATACTAAAAAGCAAGGGAGTTATCAAAGACCACCACAGGGTCACATCAAAAGTACTCAGCAGACATCTCCTGATAGCCGAAGACTGGACAATTTCACCATCAGTAAGGATAATAACAGCAATTGACTGAAAAAGATCAAATATTTTAATCTATAACACGGAAGGAAGGAAAAGAGGGAAGGCAGGCAGGAACTCACTGTGCATTTTTTAAGGATGCAAGGGAATCAATAAACAGGTTAAAATAAGATGTGGAAATGGATCAAGCACATGTTCTCACTTTTCTTCACAAATGGTATCTCAGAGAAACAGTGAATAAGAATGTTTTCCCATTTTCTGCCATCTAGAATAACAGAATGACCAAAAAAAAAAAAAAAAAAGATGGAACCTCTTAATCAATTAACGGATCTAGACCAGGGTCATCAATGGCCGAAGCTCACGCAAGTGATAACCATTGAAGTACATAAAATCACTAAATATCTTGCCACAAATACCTGGTCAAGGGCTGGGGGCTCAGTGGTACAGCACTTGCCTAGCAGGTGTGATGTACTGGATTGGATCCTCAGCACCACATAAAAAATAAACAAAATAAAGGTATTGTGTCCATCTACAACTAAAAAAGAAATTCTAAAAAAAAAAAAAAAAAACACACTGGTCAAGCCTCTATTATAGAAACTGATAATATGTTTAACATCACTATAATAATGCAAGCAGCCAGGACAATGTAAATAATAATTCATATTTGATGATATTAAAATAATTAGTATTTACTAAGGCAAAAACACTTATCTAGGACTGGAGTTGTGGCTTAGTAGTAGAGCTCTTGCCTAACATGTGTGAAGCACTGGGTTTGAATCTCAGCACCATAAATAAATAAATAAATAAATAAATAAATAAATAAATAAATAAATAAAGGTCCATCAATTAAAAAAAAAAAAGCATTAACTAGAACATTCAGAGGTGTATTAGCAAAAATAGACAGAACCAGGTGCAGTGGCATAGACCTGTGATTCCAACAACATGGGAGGCTGAAACAGGAAGATCACAAGTTAGAGAACAGCCTCCAAAACTTAATGATACTGTCACAAAAGATCACAAGTTAGAGAACAGCCTCCAAAACTTAATGATACTGTCACAAAAAGTTTTTAAAAAGTTGCTAGGGATGTGGCTTGGTGGTAGAGCATCCCTGGGTCCAAACTCCAGTACTGCCAAAAAAAAAAAAAAAAAAAAGAAAAAGAAACAAGAATTAATTCTATGCTGTTATACACACATAAAAGAAGAAGAGCTTTTCCTATCACAGAGAAAAAGGCAGTGCCTTTAAACAAGCTTCATAGGGCTGAAAAGGATTATCAGCCATGAACAAATGCAGCAAACAATATTCTATGCTCAGCAACAGTGAGCTACTGAGGACACTTTTAAAGTACTATACCATTTTCCATAGGTCCATTGTTTTTCATGGAGTATTATACAGCTGTGTACATATGTACCCACAGCAAATCATAAAAGAGACAGACTGCTCTCCTAGACCAGGAAACAGAAACTCAATGTCCAAACTATTTCTTATCAAATCAACTGTCTCTCCATTTTGACAATTTACTTGGAAACTAAGGAAACTAAGATCAAAGACCCTCAAAGACATATACACACAAAATCCAACTCTGAAATTCAGAATGGAAAATAGAAGAATTTGGGAATAATGTGAGGCATATTTTCTTTCTTCTAACAGAGGCCATGCCTTTGGAAAAGGAGTAAATAAAATGAATGTGTGACCATAACAGCATCAAAATATAAGAAATGATTTTCTAAATCATGAGTAATAATACTAGAGCAATGAGTTTCAAACAAGGGATAAAACATACTTCACAAGAACCGAAATAAATTGGCAGATGATTCATCAGCCAGATTAAGAAAATTTTCAATTTAAATGAAGAGAATTTCTATATGTAGGAAAAATAGATGTCCCAGGATGTTTAAAAAAAAAAAAATAGGGAAATAGTAGAAATGTTATTCAGTAACTTCCAAGAGTAAAAGGCAAAATGTAAGGACATCCTAGATTTAGCTTCAGATACATCAATGTAAAGAAAATAGATATAAATGAAATGCTGTTTATTTTTCACCCAATAAAGAAAATAAATTTAAAAAGTGAGCCGCATGACCAAACATGGTTTTGGACCAACATGCTTTGCTTAAGTGGAAAAGCTAAAAGAGGAGGTGAAAAACCAGCAGCATATACAAACAGTTATATGCATCTTCCTAGGAAGATGATGATGCAGTTTTCATCCTATCCTTAAACTTGTTTTTACCTTTAGTGTTGGGGATTGAACCCAGGGTCTTGGGCATGTTAAGCAAGCACTCTGTCACTGAGATACACTAACAGCTTCCTTATCATATTCTTAAAGTGGTCTGTGACCCAAAAAAGGATTAAGGATCACTTCTGATATAGAATGAACTCTTACACTTGGTAAAAGGTCAGAATAAATTATCTCTATGTCTTTCTGCCACCCCTAAAATTCATCAAATTAAATAATTATAATACTTTAAGTCCACAGGCAAACTGAGGAAAGGGCAGAAAAGCAGAAGTCTTGTTCATCAGGTTCTAGGAATGGCACAGAGTCAGGGACACCAACCTGAAGCAGATCAGGTGGCTGACGAGGGAGTGCTCATGAAGTTATCTGCCCCAAAATCACAAGACCAACACGGAACACTATTCATCACCAGAAACTCTTCTGGTTTTAGCTTTTTTTGTTTTAGAGAAGACACAAACTGAATGTCTACTTACACTGACTTGTCAGTGTTGCTTGAAACAAAGGCTTAAGCCAAAAAGACAAGAAAACAAAAACCTAGATGTTATTAGGGACAGAGTTAAACTTTGCTTCTTCACGACTGTGTCCAGGGTCTGCACAATGTGGAATTCAATAGTTATCACATGCGGAACGAAAGACAGCTTCTAGCCAGGTGTTTCTGATAGCATCTCTAAAGTTCTCACCTGGGCCAAGACACTTTCCATCTCTGATTTCTTCTCAGCAGAACACTTTTTATCAGACATCAATTTCTGTAAATGAGCTGTAAGAGAGGTGCTGACATGTGAACTTCAATCAATGGGTAAAAGGGACAATGCATTTTGAGTTTCAATGCTGAATAATTAAAAAACAAATATAAGAACAATGTTCTTAATTTAAATGAATCCTATAGCTGTTTTTATGGGGACAGTCAAGCTACTATCTAGATTCATTTACTAATTAGAAAAACTATTATCTGCATACAATTTTTTAAAACTTGTTCTGTATACTTAAGATCTATTCCTTTTACTCTTTTTTAAGTTTTTATGCCCAAATAAAAAAATTTGATGAAAAACTTTTTGAGAAAATAATTTAACCTAAACCCTTTATCTTGAACACTAGTACTGTTTGACAGAGATAAAAAAACAGACCTTTTAACAGATGGTCAGCCCGAAAACATTCTCCGTTCTTTACATCTTTCACCATGAAGTCTGCAAATTTGTCTACATGGCCAGAGGTCCTAAAGGAACAAATGCCAAGCCAATTTGTCATTTTCATACAAATTAATGCATAGATAGAATAACAATATAAGACAACCCCCCATAAGTGGTAGAGTGTTTATCATATGCAAGACCAAGTTTAGTCCCTGTTGCCCATCCCCCCCACACACAAAATGTAATGTTATGGAGGGTATATAGCTCAGTGGTAGAGCACTCGTCTAGCATGCACCAGGACCTGGATTCAATTCTCAGCACTGAAAACAAAGGACAATACCCCTACAATATGTTTACCCATACTTGTGTATCTCAAAGTTGGAAGCTCCCATATCAGTGATAGTAATGTATCCATGAGAAATAGTAATGTATGTCACAGGAAACTCTGCCTCAAATCTATTCTCATCCTCTCCCAAATTCTTCCTTCCCTTATGAAAAAAGATTAACTAGGTCATACTTTTGCACAAACTGCCATAAAGTCTATATTATGTTTCAAGATCAATTAGTACATAATATGCCATTATTATTAGTGATCTAAACAAAGGCCAAAACGATTCGAAATTTTACTAACCAAGAGTTACTTAATGATAGCATAGCATAGAGCAATCTTAAGGTAAGTTTTCTGCCACTGAAAACTGTGCTAACACTGGTATTATCACTACCCAGTTCCTATTAGTGGAACAAGCAGTTAAAAGACATACTAGGCAAACACTCCACCAACAATTATGATCTTAAAGATCTATCATCAGGTATTCCTCTTATCATAATTGGCTGAAATTAAAAGAACTTAAAAGATTTTGATAATAAAAAATTACCTCTTTGCCATGTAACATTAAATGAATAGCAATGATACAAAGTGGTAAAAATTTCTCATTCACAGTAACTGAAATCCTGCCCTTTCAATAATGTTGTTAGGACGGCACTGAAACTTTTAATATAAATTACATTTTATTGAAAATATATACAAACCTTTTCTCAGAACTTCTAAGAAATTACACTAAGGAAATAATCAAGGATATACATAAAAATCTATCTATCAGTATGTTCAATGCCATGAAAATTCACAAACACCTTACATGCCAACAATATGGCACTAAATTATGGCTCATCCATAAAAATAGAACACTCTGCTGCATTAAAAATACTTCAGACCAGTATTTAGTGACATGAGTAAAGTTCACTTATATTACAAGATAAAGCCAATGTGCTGCTAACACTCAAATACATAGGAATGTACAGAAAGAAAAGTGAAAGGATAAACCTAATGATGTTATAATTAACATGGTTACCCGAGCGCTAAGCATATTCTTTGTTTCAGTATTTTACAAATTTTCTACACAAATATGGGTGGTTTTTATAATAAGAAAGTTACTTAAATATGTATATTAAAGAACTTCCCCCTTCAAAGTAGAATCTTACTTTAAAACTGGCTCAGGGGTGAGCATGGTGCAGTCAATCTCCAGAATCTGCTCCTCTTGGATAAAGTGTTGTCTCCAAGTCTGGATAATATTGTTTTTCAAAGCACACCCAACTGGCCCAAAGTCATATAAACCACTAACACCTGTAAAATACAAGATGTTCTTCAGAAATAAATAAAATAAATAAAAACAAGGAAACATAAGAAACTACTACCTATAAGACTTCACATATACCCCATGAAAAAGTTTTAAAGTCAATAGTTCAAATCTCTCAATATTTAAAGTCTTACTTCCAGCCAGCTGACAGAAGTAAAATTTAAAAATTTCTTAGTTCATTTATAATTTCTTACATTTACAATTTCAAGTAGGATTAGTTCCAAATTGAAAGCAATAGAATATACAGAAAGCAGACCAAAAAACAGTTTATAGTTTTCTGTCATAGTAATTGCTGCTGGTATCTAAGCCACCAACATGCTTGAACACTTGTATACTTACAGTTTTGCACACTTGTATGCTCACACACACTTCCATGGTTGCACATTGACATGCACGCACACTTGCATACATTGTTCATACACATAAATGCTTTCACTCACGTGCTTACATGCATACATGTTTACATTCACACATTTGTACTTATACACTTACACCCACACAYTTGCAAAACTGTATGCTTAAATACACACTAACATGCTTGCACACTTACACTCATACACACTTAAATAATTGCACACTTACACAGACGTGCTTACAACTTACATGCTCTTACATTCACACACATATATAGGCATGCACACAATGAACACACACACGCTCACACACATTAATACATGCAAAGTTATACACACAAACACACTCACAGGAACACACAACTCACGCCCACTCACATGCCCACACAAATACACTTGCACAAATACACTCATATACACCCAGACACACTCACACATACACACACTCATATATACTCACAAAATATACATCCACACCCCCACACACATACACATTTGCCCTCATATACAAAAATATTGACATTACACACCTAGGCTCAGATACACACAAATACAAACTCACGCAAACACACTCACACATCTACACTCACACTCATACATAAACACACATTCATTCACACATATCCTCTCTCTCTCACTCTCACACACACACACACACACACACACACACACACATACTCAAACATAGAATAGAATAGAACAGAATAGAATCCAGTGCCCTTGCATGGAGAGGCACCTTACAGCTAGCCAGCACTACCAGATCAAGTACATGGCTCGTAGGTATTTTACTTCTGTTTGTTCAGAGTTGCCATTCGGTATAATGATTCTTGTTTGTTCTCTTTGTCCTATTTATTCTTGAAGACTACTTTATTCTTGTAGTATATAGGGATTGTTAGTACCTACGTATTAAGCATTTGATATATCTACATATTAATGCATTTATACACTCTTCTTAAAATGTGGTAGAGACTTGGGAGCAGTAAAGGGCCAACTGGCTAGCTTAGCTTAAAGCCATTAACCACAAAAGTGTTCTTTTTTTAATCCCCTACCTCCATAAATAGCAAAAGCTTGATCATAGAAAAACCTTCTCTTCAAGGTATCTTCCATTTTTGACCTGTCAATAATGTCATCTTTGGGCTGTAATGCCAGCTCCTGTAAAAGGAAAAAAAAAAAAAAAAATTAAGTGTGTGATTGTACAAATGAATGGTGGTAATTTGAACCTATAAATCTGAATTTAGTTTACTCCTCTGTAAAATTCAATATGAAATTTATCAAACAGATAACATTTTGATAAGTTAAAAAAAAATGGAAGCCTTATTTCCTCCCACCCTTTTAGTAACAGAAAAGATACCTTTACTTAATTATCTAGGAACATACATGATCATTTTCAAGATTATAAAACTAAGATTAGATGTAGATGATGACAAGCAATATTAGCAATACCTGAAATTTAAGTGGATCTGTAAATTAGAGAATTTAAAACTTTAAACTACTAAGTTTCGCTATGGGAGGTTTACTGTTGGGGTGGGTACAAGATGTATCAGAAACATTATTTTTAGACATAAGAAACTTCATTTAAAAAGAGCACAATGCTTTTCAGGAAATTCAGGAAGCATATTGAGTGTAGGGTCTGGGAGGCAGGTTCAGGTAGGGGAAATCGGGGCTCAGGAGGGCTTTGTAGAAAAGATGATGCTTTTGAGTTACACTTTGAAAGGATAAAAGGAGTTTGCAAGGTAGTGGAGGAAAAGGCATTCTGAATAAAACAGATAAATCAAGTGACACTTGTTTAGAAACTTTTCTAGGTCTCTCCCACCCAAAGAGATTAAATAAAGATCAACACTCCTATACCTACTTATGTTCCTATTTTAACACCCCAAAACTCACCTTTGCTTCCAATACCCTCTTACGGGCTTTAAGCTCAGCCACTGCTTTGTCTACATCCACTTGGGGTGCTTTATCTTCTTTCAGCTTTCGCACAAGATCTCCCTAGCCAAAAAACAGAATTTATATTCAGGATTGGTTTCAGGAGTCAAGATATGTTAGAATATTTTTTCTTTCAATCTTGGGAATGGAACCCAGGGTCTTGCACTTAGTGTTCTTACCACTGAACTTCACCCCTGGAAGGAATGTGTTTTTAAGCATGCTTTAAAAAAAGAAAAAAAAAAAAAAGAACCTGTATAAGAACAATGCAATTAAAGTATTTATTATGTAAGAGGTCATTATGAATAACTGAAGGTCTCTGCTCTCTGTATTTATAATCCTGAAGAATACAGAGACAAATTAACAAAGATGAGCTCACATGGTGGATTTTATGGGGGAGGGGGTAAAGAAGGTGGCAGTTTTTTAAAAAATCATATAGATCATACAGAAATGAATCACTGAAATTGGAAACTGATAGAACAGGTCAAATAGCAGATCAGACAGAGCTGAAGAGAAGATTAGTGAGCTAGAAGACAGCACTAGAGAAATTACCCAGAACAGTATAAAAAAGCAGTTTAAAATACGAGAGGTAAGTAGTCACAGAGAAGAAATAGTCTAAGAATTATCCAGCCAAAATGCAGAATAAAGAAATTATTTAAGAAGTAATATTTGAGAAGACAATAGTTATGAAATTTTCTGTAACTGCTCAAAGACATAAATTCTCAGATTCAAGTACAAGAAATCCAAATACACAAAACAAAAATCCACGTGTAGACAAGCTGTAGTAAAACAGAGTATTTAAGAAGTGTTAAAGACCTGAATTTAATCCCAAGCAAGTTGAACACTTCTTTGAGCTTCCTCAACTATAAAATCAAGATGATAATAATTGCTAATTGGACTGTTATAAGAAGGCAATGAAGCTGGGCGTAGTGACAATGTCTATAATCCAGTGGCCTGGGAAGCTGAGGCAGGAGGATCACAAGCTCAAAGCCAGCCTCAGAAACTTGGTGAGGCCCCAAGTAACTTATCAAGACCCTGTCTCAAAATAAAAAAATAAAGAAAGGGCTATAAATGTGGCTCACTAGTTAAGGGCCCCTGGGTTCAATTTCTGGTAGAAAAAAAAAAAAGAGGAAGAAATGAAACACTTTAAATAAAGTAATTCTGCAGCACCTAATAACAGAAATATAAAACGTAATAGCTGTTATTATGCTAAAAAGCAACTCAATTGTGTGTGGCGACAGATACTTCACACCCAATTTGTTTCAAACTGAATTATTTCATTCTACTATGTTCTGTCTGATAAAGGATACAAAATCTACTACTTTCAAAACAAGATATATCAAGTTATCCTTCTTAAGCTTCAACATCTGGTATGCTCCTAATAAACTAGGTTGCCACAAGATTACAGTTCATCTCCCACCTAAAGGTATCCAGACTAACATGAGGCCTGGCTCCAAGTTATCCTAATTCATGTTATTTCTCTGTCATTTAATAAGCCTTATTTCAAAACAGAAAGCCATCCCTGATTCATAACTGTTCCTAATTTGTACTTTCAATGATTATTCTCTAACCCAAAAAGAGTTTCCTCGCACTTAATGACATTATACCCCATCTTTTATGAAGCATTTCCAAATATCACAATCTGACAATTGCTCCTTGGGGACATTATTCCCCCTTGAAACTATCTCAAGTAGAGACTGTTTTTCCCCCCACATTCCTCAAGGCCTGGAGAATGGACAGATGTAGTCCTTATTACCCTCTATACTGTTGTTCCTCTTTTCTCCCACTGAAATCCCTGCTCCATTGAAGGAAGGACCTGTTATCACACTTTTTTTCCTGGGCTGGCGTCATTTTCTAAGCTCCCACTGACTCTCTTCCTCCAATGAGTCTCCCTCTTGCACAGCCCATGCTCTTCAGAATGTCCAGCTCAGGAAGTGAAGAAACCGTCAGAAGTATCCTTCCACAGTTTTAAGATGCACTGCATCTTCCAGGAATATGTGTGTGTGTGTATGTGTGTGTGTGTATGTGTGTGTGTGTGTGTGTGTGTGTGTGTTTTACTGGGGACTGAACCCAGGGGCACTCTACTTCTGTACTACATCCTCAGCCCTTTTCATTTTGAGACAGGTTCTTGTTGAGTAGCTGAAGCTGATCTGGAATTTGCAATCTTCCTGCCTCAGTCTCCTGAGTTGTTGGCAAGAAAATGTAATTTAAAAGAAGATTATCTTGTTTGAGAATTTTACAAAGAGTTGTTCATTCTTCAAGGAAAAAGTCATTCATTATTTGAAAAAATAAAACACAAGATATCACCAATGCAGTTGGTATCTAAGCCACCAACAATCTATCTTATCAGTACACATTTATAGCAACTACATTCACAGTAAATCTATGTACAGGTATAAGGATCTGCTTACTGCATTATAACTCTCAGTGGAGTCATACCCAGAATTTATATGTCAAAATACATATTACTTTATTGCATTTATAGCATTATTTGTACATATTTTTATTAGAGCACTATAATTATACATAGTAGGTGGATTCATTTTGACAAAATTATACACGCATGGAATTTCATTTCGATCCCCTCTCATCCTCTCCTCACCCTGTTCTCCTTTCTCTACTCTGATGATCTTCCTTGTGCTCATTTTTTGGTTCTTTCTACTTATACATAAAAGTATAACTCACTATGGCATTTTACATATGCATATAATGTGATTTGGTTAAATTCATTCTGTATTTCCTCTCCTTTCTCATCCCTCCTCCCTCCCTTGCAATCTCCTCCTTCTACTCACTGATCTATCTTCCTGATATCAGATACACCCCTCCTTTTTTTCTTATTTTGCTCTAGCTTCACATGATAGATAATTTTGACCCTTGACTTTATGGGTCTGACTTATTTCGAAATATTTAGCATGAAGTTTTCCATTTCCATCCTTACCAGCAAGTGCCATAATTTTATTCTTCTTTATGGCTGAAATCACCCTATGGCTTATTTATTTAYATGCAATTTTATCTACCCATCTTTTTTTTTGGCAGGGCAGTGGGTACAGGAATTGAACTAAGGGGCACTCAACCATTGTGTATATATATCACATTTTCTTAATCCATGCATCTATTGACAGGAATCTGGGCTCACATAATTTGGCTCTAAACATTGAGGTGGCTATATTGCTACAGTATTTTTTAGTCCTCTTAGATAAACAACCAGGAGCAGGATGGCTGGTTCATGTGGTGATTCCATTCCTACTTTTTTAAGGAATCTCCACACTGCTTTACAGAGTAGTTGCAGTAATTTGCAGTCCTATCAATAATGTATGTTTTCCCCCACATCCTCAATAGCATCATGACTGGTATTCTTGTTGTACACATATTTTTAATTAAATTTAGGTAGATTTTTTGTATGAATTTCACGAAGAACAGAAATGAGAAATTCTAAAACATTTGGTATAAAGAGGACACTGGAGTCTAATATCGTCAAGAGCCATGAATTTAGTTATACCCCATTCTCTTGTCTTATCCAAATTAGTCTGGCCTGTTATATTGCAGTTTTTATTCTATTATCCTGATCTCTCTGGCTAAAGCAACAACCCCAGTCACCTTCTAACTTCATTGTATCTTATTACAATACCTGAAATCACCCTACAGGTTATTTATTTACATGCAATTTTATCTACCCATCTTTTTTTTTGGCAGGGCAGGGGGTACCAGGGATTGAACTAAGGGGMACTCAACCACTGAAACACATCCCCAGCCCTATTTTGTATTTTTTTTAGAGACAGGGTCTCACTGAGTTGCTTACTTTTGCTGAGGCTGGCTTTGAACTCACAATCCTCCTGCCTCAGCCTCCTGAGCCTCTGGGATTACAAGCATGTGCCAGGGCACACAGCTTCTACAATCATTTTAGAGTAGGCTTGTTTAGGACAGAATTTCTGCCATTTCAATACTGGCACTCAAATATTTGTTGATTGAAATCACAACCTAAACCGAGAAGAGTACTAAGCAATTAGCATTTAGCACTACTGGTTTATTCTTTACTCTCTCAGTGGATCTTTCCCTTCCTCTACCTTTCAAAACTCAGTACACATTTATACCAATGTGTATGTGTGTTACTAAGGATTGAACCTGTTCACCAATACCACTTTCTGGTGGAGAAAAGAAGCCTACGTGAGCCTTTGCTCTGAAGGGGTGGTTGTAGATCCTTCTGAATGTCAAAAAAGTAAGCAAGTCCCTCTCTTCAACTCCCTCTGTGTCATTTCCTCCTCACGCTTCTCAAAGGGAATTGGCAAACAAGGCTGCAAGCAAACAGGTAGGAAAAATGTTAAATTCACCGCCCTGAATCACTTTTTGTTTTTTAAGGTTTGGGCACAGAATTAGGCACACATGTTCAAGCAGAAGCCATATACAACATGGAAACAGCATGAAAGTAATGAGTCCTAAACTGAGTTCACCATCTCTGATGTCCCAGTGAAGAAAAGAAATATTCATATTATTCTCAATAATGGATTAGAATCATGATTTATAATGACCCAATCCTGAAAACAAAAGCACTGGAGGTATGGGAGCCAGAGTTGTGGCTCAGTGGTAGAGTGCTTGCCTGGCATGTGTGCTACCTTGGGTTTGATCCTCAGCACTGCATATAAACAAATAAAAACACCCAAATAAATAAAATATATTATATTATACACACACACACACACACACACAAAAAAAGGCTGGGGATATGGCTCTAGGTTCAATCCCTAATACCAAAAAAAAAAAGAAAGAAAGAAAACGAATGAACTGAAGATTTCCTAGACATACAATGAAAGTTCTTAAGGATTCCTAGTTTCTAATTATTTTCCTGAGGCTGAGGCAGGAGTTTCACAATTTCAAGGCCATCCTGAACAACTTAATGAGAAACTCTCTCAAAATTAAAAAAAAAAAAAAAAGCGGGGCGGGGTGTCTAGGGATATAGTTCAGTGCTACAGTACTCCAAAATTCAAACCCCAGTACTACAAAAAAGAACTAAAAGAAAATTTTAAGTGCTGAAACACATCTACATATCTATTAATGTTATTTACACAATAAATCATCAGTTACAGACCTCCTTCAAGAATCATTTAAAAAGGCGTTTCTATCATTTCACCAAATTCAGAAGATATCAATTTTCTCATTCAGATTCAAAATATCATCAAACTGACTAATCACCTGCAATCCAATAAGCCATCAGTTCAGAACAATACCTAACATCTCACCAAGTACTCAGGATATACCGGGCAGCATTATCAGCACTTTACACAAACTTCTCATTTTAACTTTTGAAACTCCATTTCCATATTGCAGATGATGAACTAACAAAAAGTTAAGTCATTTGCCTAATGACAGCAAAGTCAGGATCCAAACTTCGGAAATATAACTTCAGAGCCTACACTCTCTGAATTACTAGGCTACACTGCCAACCAATATTTAATCAAAAATAGGCAGGGATAAAAAACAAAACAACAAAAAAAAAAAAAAATCAAGCAATTCTTCAAAACTTTTCCTATGTTGACAAATTCCACCTCAGATTTAAAAAAAAAAAATCCTTCTCATAGCACTTATTTTGTTAGGGCTTCAAGCCACACCCACCTAAATAGTTTGAGTGGCCTTTTCAGTCCAGATAATACACTGAAGCAGCAGAGTGGTCAACAACTAAATGCTGAAAATGGATAAAGTGATCAGTACCCCTTGGCAGTATTAAGCAAGGGCACTAGAGAAGGTCAAAGACAGAATGCAGTGGGCAAGAGTGAATGGAAAACAAGAAAGTGGAGACAGTGGCAGTGCAGGAGGAAACTCCAGGCTGTAAAGGAAATAAAGGCTGAGGGAAGGGGAGCTTCAGGGGACTGTTGCAGACAGCAGTCCAAGTCTGTCTTTTTTATAGGAATCAGATACTTCTATACTCCTAAAACAGAGGTTGTGAAATTTTGTAGTATCAGAGCCCCTTTTCACTGTTCAAATCACTGAGGACCCCGAAAGCTTTTGCTTATCAATATTTACTATACAGCCAGCCCTTGACTTAAGATGTTCAACTTTAGAATTTTTTGACTTAACAATGGTGTAAAAGTGATAGGCATTCAACAGAAACAGTCCTTTAAATTTTGAGTTCCTCTCTTTTCCTGGGCCAAGATGCTGGGGAAAAACAGTGAGTTGCAGCTCCCAATCAAAGAATACAAGGGTAAACAACCTACACTCCACAGCACATTGTGTTGCTAAGCTAGGATATTCTTGGTTAGGGTAGGTGTGTATCAAACAAATTTTCAGCTTACAATATTTTCGACTTATGATGAGTTTATCAGGACACAATCCCATTGTAAGCAGAGGAGCACAGGTGTTAGAAATTAAAATGGAAATTTTTACAAACTTATTAATTCATTTAAAATAATAAAAGCTCAATATATGTTAACATTAAAAATAGCATGTTATGAAAAATAACTATTTTCCAAAACAGTGAGAAATATAGTTTTATAATTTTGCAAATTTCTAAATTTCTAACTTAATAGAAGACAGCTAGACTCTCATGTCTATTTCTTTTGCAATATGGTATTTTGAGTAAATAATATAAGAAAATCACACAGAGTTAGAAAAGGGAGTAGAATTTTAAAAACTTCTTCAGATGTGAAAAGAATTGACTATGATTATTCTTCTTTGATAGTACATCAAAATTCTGACAAGTAGTAGCTTAAGTTATTTCTAACCCCCAAATAATAGAACTAAACTTTTCATACTGTTACATTAAGTTCATGAATGTTATCTTTAAATGCATCCTTTGGATAGATACCTGATTTCAAAACATCATGCATTCACTGGTCATTTTAAAAATATTGATTAAATGACTTATGCAGATCTTCCAAATATTAATCCAATTTTACAATATTAAAAAAATACCCATTTGTTAATATCACTTATTTTTACTTATTTATTTTTATATGGTGCTGGGGATTGAACCTAGTGCCTCACATGTGCCAGGCAAGCACTCTATCACTAAGCTACAACCCCAGACCTCATCAAAATTTAAGCCAGGTCCTGCAACTCATGCCTGTAAACCTAGTAATTTGGGAGGCTGAAGCAGGAAGGTGGCAAGTTCAAAGACAGCCTGGGGAAGTTGACAAATTATTTTAGATCCTGTCTCAAAAAAAAAAAAAAAAAAGTACTGAGGATGCAGCTCAGTAGTAGATTCAATCCCCAGTACTGAAAAAACAAAACAGGGAAAAAAAGTCAGATTCTAATAATGGGAAGCTGCCAAGCTTGAAGTCAAATTTCCCAAAATTCTAAATTTTCCCAAACTTTAAATTTTATTATTGGGCACAATTACTATCTGTTGTTTTCCTGAAGTGACAGGCTCACTTCATTCATTTTCCACAGTAGCAGATTTATATGAAACATATGCCACTAACCAAAACAGTTTTTAAGCACCTTAAAAAGCCCACTCATCTTTAACTGTACAAACTTCACAATGGAAATATGTAACACAAACAGAGGTGACAGTGTCTCATTTCCCCAAATGCAAAAAAGGGAGAAGGGGTTAATTAGATGACTTTTAAATTCCTTCCAGCTAGCACTTGTCTCAATATGATTCAAAGTTACAGGCAATTAATTGATTTTGTGTGGTCCTAGAAAATTAGAAAAAGAACCCAAACCAACTTACACAAATTAACTCATTCAGGAAAAAAAAAATCAAGCCAACATAAAACAATACACAAAATTCATAAATCAATACACAAGATAAGAGTAGCCTTGGAAGGCTGTTCCATGATCAAAGTTTACTTCAGTTAACTAGACCCAGTCTAAGCACAGATGGATAATTTGCACTGCAGTTCCAGGCAAACGTGGCAGAGGGAGGGGTTTGGGTTGTGCTTTTTTCTAAATTAGATGTATTCTCTCTTCTAAGAAAGGATACAAAAAAAAATTGAAGAGTTATAATAAAGACAAAGGAACCACACCTAATTTCATTTAGGGAGGAGAGGATGGATGAAGGGAGAATAAGTTTATAATGTTCTGATATCTATTTAAAAAAAGGGGGGGAAATTAAGCCCATAGTGAAATTTCAAAATAAAAGACAATAAAAACAAGTCAGGTTCAGACTAGAAATAAGTAGAAACTGCAAAGCAGCAGAACTTAATGACTTTGTGGCGGTTGTACCCCAAAGAATTATTTCTAAGATGGGGTTCCACCCTCCGAAGCTAAGGCAAATTATTGCATCAGGCGCCGGTGCAGGAGAAACTCGTTTTGGTGTTTACTACTAGTAGGTCATAGATCCCCGGGGTCCTACTGCAAGCTTCTGGTTTTACCTAGCTGGATGTGAGAATCATCTGAAATCATCTTTTCCTTGTCCTCTCGAAATTTTGATCTCCATGCTAGTGCTCTAAAAGAAGGCCTGTATCAAATCCCAAGTCCTCCAGCCCATGAAACCTCCCCTCCCTTCCGCAACATGAAATTGAAAATGTTCCATACTAAGGATGGCTGACTTCATCGAGTAACTAAACACATTCACAGACTCCCAGGTTTCCAATCTTAAAACCTCCCTGCCTCCAAGGTGGCCTTTTCAAAGGCCGGAAAAGATGACAAGAGCAAAAGGTGAGGAATTCACATGGTTATTAGAAAAGCAAGTTTGACACCTCTCTACACCCACGTCTGCACTCTGGTTCTTTTCTCAGCCGGTCATTCGGCTAGCTAAGCACTGAGGCTTCCTTCAGAGATGAAAAGAAGGAAACAATATCCAAAGCATCCTGAAGATCAGGGAGTCTGACCCCAAGAACCCGCACCTTCGGCTCATGGCTCATCACTGACCTGGGAAAGAATTAGGAAGCTGACCACCCGGGGTGCACAGAGAGCACAGAGCGCCTGGCAAATTGAAATTAAGGTTACACGCGGAGGACACGAGGAGAACCGAAGGGTCACAGATCCCAGACACTAAACGCAGGCAGGGAAAGGAGAACAGGTCGGGGGAAGAGGGGGTTATCCAAGGAGCGCAGACGCGGGTCCGCGAAAGGAAGGTGGCTGACACACCGGGACTTGGGTCCTAAGTGGGGGAGGCGAGGAAGACGCCCGAGGATGAARGAACAGAGTCCCCGGCGCGGTGCGGGTGGCCGCGGAGGAGGGAAGGATGAGCAGGAGAGGAGCCGCGGAGGAAAGCCGGGGGCTAGTAGGGGGAGTAAAACGCCGGTACCTGCTGGCGCACGGCTAGCCGGAGAGGTGCCAGCACCTCCTCTGCCCCGGTGCCGTCCATGCTGCTCCGAGAGGCGGCGGCGGCGGGGACCGAGGTCTGGACGCTGGCGGGCGTGCTGAAGGACCGKCGGGGCGCGGGCGAGGGCCGAACGGGGGGCCGCAGCGCTAGCGGCGGCAGCGACAGCAGAAGAGCAGCGCGGAGGGGTCTAAACAGCGCCGGGCGCAGAGAGGGCATGAGCCGGCGGCGCTGGGCGGTCCCGAGGGGGCGGCGGCGGAAGCGGCGCGCGCGGCCCGACCTGGAGCATGATGAAATCGCCGCGTAAACGCCGTGGCGCGCGCGCAGCCGCAYATTCCCTATCCCGCGCCGCAGCGTCGGTCCGCCCTAGCAGATTCGACACAGAACCCGGAAGAGCCRGCGAGGTGGTTTCTTCACCGCGCAGCACTGGGAGGGCTGGGAGCGGGCCGAGAAATGGGTGAAGCCACACCAGTAAGGTGGACCGTTGGAGCACACAGTTCTTCCCGAGACTTGCAGACCCAGACRCACAAGAACCTTCAAAGCAAGAGCTAGTCCAGCGCACTCCAACGCTGAGGCAGACCTATTTGGATACAGGCTTCTCTTTCTGTTCTTTCGTCCCCTGACCCTTAAACTGATTTGCAAACTTATCGAATAGGGATTTACACTTAATGTTGCCCAAGCTCGGGTGCTTCTCGATTTTTACTGGAATTAAGGTCCGCCAACGCTTCATATTATGGGAGTCTCAGGCCAGAGACCCGAATGTTARGGGCCCAACCAATCAGATCCCACCACTCACCCCAAAAAAGTGAATGGAAAAAGTAATGATGAAAATCAGGAAGGGAACTTTAATGATGTGACCAAACTGAGAAGGCAAGTGAGACCAAGTATATCATCCCTACCTTTGGGCTACTAACATAAGCTTTACTTTTAAATAGTGGAAGAATCAGGAGAGGGTGTAAGAGAGGTAGGCATAATTAAACAGTTTTGATCAAACTATGGTCTGGTTGTTCATTATCTCTATCTCTATTTGCTGTTTAGGATGTTGATCAAACCTGTGTTCCTGGAAAGGGGGTGCAATTCCCTTAGGGGGCCCGATCTTATCCTGGGTGGATCTACCTGCTAAGTTCCATTGTCCTGAAAGATGTAGAACAATGGAAATTTCTAGGTGCCACTCCAGGGGTCAGGAACAGGACACTGAGAAAACTGGCAATGGATTTCCATGCAAATTTTGAAAATACTCTTATTTTAGGGACAAGATAGGTAATTTTAGGAGTAATATGCCTATATACCTACATGCAGAGCTGAATGTAATAAAGAAGAAGATAAGGGCTGGGGATATAGCTTCTTTGGTAGAGTGCTTGCCTTCCATGTACAAGGCCCAGGGTTCAATCCCTGGCATCACGTTTAAAAAAAAAAAAAAAAAGATACAAAGTAGAGGCAGAGATACCAAGCCTTACCCTGCGTTTAGTTGCCCATTGGGCAGCTGCAGGCCCAAGTAAAGAGTCTGCTTTTCACAAAAGCAGCCTAAATCCGTTTATATTCACTCTGGCCTTGTTTTAGTCAGCTTTTTCTCTGCTGTGAACAAAAGACCTGACAAAAACAATTAGAGGAGGAAAAGTTTATCTGGGGGCTCATGGTTTCAGAGGTTTAATCCATAGAGGGCTGACTCCATTCTTTGGGACTCAAGGTGAGACAGAATTCATGGTAGGAGAGTGTAGTGGAGGAAAGCAGCTCTGGACATGACATCAGAAATGAATTCTCCACTTACCAATTACAAATGTATACCCCAATGACCCACCTCCTCCCACAGTACCCTACCTGCCTATAGTAACCACCCAGTTAATCCCTATGTGGGATTTAATGCACTGATTAGGTTAATACTCTCATAACCCCACCATTTTATCTCTAAACTTTCTTGCACTGTCTCACACATAAGGCTTGGGGGACACTTCATATCTAAAACATTACAGGACTGCACAAGACCACAGACCTTTTGGTATCAGAGGGCAAAAATTCCACCCTCGGAGCAGCTCATAGTGCCATTTTCTGAATATGGTGTCCTATGAAGAACCATGAAGTTTGGTTGTACATGTGCAGATCACCGATTATTTCAATTTTCTTTACTTTCAATCACTTTTCCCCATACCCTCAGATTACCTTGCTTCTTTGTCCCATAAAAAGTTCCCCTAAAGCTTACCCTGGGAAGATAAGGCTTGAGACTTGCTTTCTCATATCCACACCCTTGGCTTCCCCATATATAACCTTTTTCTCTTTCACAAAATTCATTTCAGTGATTGACATACTGTGGGACAAGTAGAAACAGGCCTGCTTTGGTAACAATTTAGAGAGCCTCCRGGGCACATCCAGATGGGCTCAAGAGCCCATTGCCCTCACTATTGAGAACTATGGACAAGTCTAAGCAGTTTACCACTTGTCCCATGGACCATCTCTGAGTCCAGCACAGTGCTACTGACCTTCAGTGCACAATTTCACTTTGCAAGAGTCCTGTTTCTGGGTTTGGAAGCCATCTTACTCCATGATTAACTTTGACACAGGTGACTGGATTCCCTGTGATTTGGCCTTCATTGTGAGGGTCTTGTTTTGGGGATCCCAATATTTGATTTCTGAAAGGCAGCCTTAGTTTTGCCCTCATTATGAGGGTTTTGGTCCCTGATGTTAGGAAAGGGTAAGGGATCTCCACTCACAGAAATTCTCTTAGGTTTGGCTGGTTTCTGAGATGTAGTTCTAGCTGCAACATAAGCAGCAGTTATACTTCTAGCCATGTGTAATTTCTGAAGCAAAAGAAAATGTTAATTTGATTCCCACATATAGCCCATTGGACTGTGTTCTCCAACGCTGGGCAATTTTCAGCTATAAATGCATGGAAAGAAAAAAAACGATAATTTTCTTTTTAGCATTTCCTGGCCTTAGTATTCTTTGGACTCAGGAGAGAATGAGACAGTATTGGGAAGGTTTCATTCAAACCATCAAGGTAAACTTCCCCTGGAATTCCTAGGAATATCTTCGGCAGGGGTTTTAATAACCTCTCTGATATTTTGAACAGAGATTTCTTCCACACTTTTTTTAAAACATTTTTTTTTATTTTTTAGTTGTAGTTGGACACAGTACCTTTATTTTATTTATTTATTTTTATGTGGTGCTCAGGATCGAACCCAGGGCCTCACCCATGCTAGGTGAGCGCTCTACCACTGAGCCACAACCCCAGCCCTTCTTCCATACTTTTTAACATAACTGAGCTCATGGTAACATATTCTGGCCTTTTTTTCTGGTGAACTTGCTTTTGGTTCTGAGTGCTTAGTTTAATATTTTTATTTGATGAACATTTCTTATGAATATCTTTAAGGTAAATTTTTAACTGCAGTTAATATGATTAACATGCAAAGGCTTTTAGCTCCCTATTTTCTTTTGTTTGCCTATTTTGAATCTGGTGACTTTTTTGGTTTATRTTAAGGTCCTTTTTTTCTTTTGTTAGTTTGTTATTTCAGCCAGTTAAAATGTAAACATGTAAGAGCTAATTCCTGTGGTGGGTTTGATCTAAAAATATCCCCCCAAAAGCTCATGTTTTGAAAGCATGTTTCCCAATACATCAAGGTTCAGAGATGGGGCTTTTAGGCAATGGTTAGATTATGGGGTTATAACATCATCAGTGACTTAATCCATTTGATGGATTAATAATGTGAATGGACCACTGGGTGGTAACTGTAGGCAGGTAGAAATAGTTCACTGGAGACATCCTTGGGGGTTATGTTTAGTCTCTGGCTTCTCCACTGCTCCCTCTCTCCCTCATTCCCCCTGTCTCCCCTGTTCCCCCTCTCTCCTCCTCCTCTTTCTCTCTTCATTCTCCTCCTCCTCATCTTCTTCTTCTCTCTTTTGCTCTGTCTCTCAATCTTTTTCTCTTGCCTCCCCCTTTCTTTCTCTCCTTCTTCCCACCTGTCATGAGCTGAGCAGTTTTCCTCCTCCATGCCCGTCTTCCATGATGTTCTGCAATGGAGTTTGTTGATCTGAAACCATGAGCCAAATAAACCTTTTCTCCTMTAAGTTGTTCTTGGCAGTTATTTTGATCATAGTGATGAAATTTTGACCTTTTGAGACTTAGGTAAGAGGGGAAAAAWTTTTTTTAAACCAAGCAGTTGTGGGACCTGCTTCACATGAAAAAGTTTGGCCCACAGCCTATATAAAATTCTCAATAAAAACCTTAGAGGCTGGTCATATGACAAGGACATGAGGAAGACTGAAAGCTGAAATTAACTTACATGACTTGTTTCATTTTATCAATAAGCATAATCTGAACTCAACTGTCTTCTTATTAATTGGTACTCTTTTCTCTCATAAATTTTCTGGTAAAGTAAAAACAGTCTTTAATAAAACAGTCCCCCTCTTGCTCTCACAGCCCCCATCCCAGCTCCTTGTGTAGACCTTTTTTACTTAGGAGTCATACCTTTGGATGTGTAAATTTAGGATTAAGAGTTATTTAGGGCAATGGAGAAGGTAAAGGAGAAGATTGATAGCCCAAAGGTAGACTTCCCAACTCCACTCTAATGATAATTCTCAGGGCCATATCTTGGACTATGTCATTATTCAGAACTGCCTCATTTCTGAAATATTACCTTAAAAACCCAACTCTTTAAACACAAGCAACCATCCTTCTAGATCCCCAATGCACTTCAACTTCACCTGTTTGTAAAGTTTTGCACATGGGCTCATAGGTTTGTAATGTGAGAGGAAGAGTGTCAGGATCTTCTCAGAGATAAGGAGTTGAGATCCCCAAATAAAAGTAGAGGTCAATGTGGATGAAGAGATTGAAGTTAGAGGTGCTTGGGCTTTGTAGGGCCCTTAACTGGAATATGTTGATGTCACCCAACATAATGGGGAATAGGTGAGGGAGTGGACAGAAAGCTGAGCGCCCAGGCAGGGAGCAGGAGGTTGGTAGATAGTGGGTGTTGACGTGAGCTGGAAGGGCACTCAGACTAACAGGAGTTAGTGGGGAAATGGGTTCCTCTGGGAAGAGCCATCTTTAGTTAAGGCCAAATGGTTAAAATCATGTAGCATAAAATCATATATACATTAAATCACTTCCAGGGACACTGTACTCTTGGCTACAAATGATCTCTCTAGTTTGTTTCCACCCCAAATTATACCCTTCCAAATGGTCTGATGGAACTGAGAATGAGTTCCACAATGAGATGAAATGACATCAGGGTGCCCCAGTAATACAAAACCAATGTGTTGGTCAGCTTTTCATTGCTGTGACAATACACCTGAGAAAAGTTAAGGAGGCAAAAGTTATTATGTTTTCCCATTTCAGAGGGTTCAGTGTGGTTAACTGGCTTCCTTTTTTCTGAAACTGTAGTGAGGCAGTGCCAGGTTTCTGTT